CAAACAACGTAGGAAATTTTTCATGCAGCCTAACTTGCTCTTTACATAAAAATATTGAAGTGCACTTTATCCACGACCACATAAATGTTTGAGGTTATATCAATTTTTACTGGATCTGCCATAAAATATTATAGTAGAAGTCAAAACAAATTTGTACATTTGCATCCACGTAAAGCTTTCGACATAAGGACATCAATGCTAAAAATTTAATTTTTATTAATTTTTATTAAATTAAATTAATTTTCATATTTTCATATATTTACATTTTACACTATGTATCTCATTCGTTAGACGCCATTAACGTTTGCGTGCATCGTTTACTATGATTTCACGCTTCTCTATACAACATGCCGATTATTTGATTCCTTTTTTTCACGTCGTCCATACAGCTTTTCGCTTTATCTAGTGACGCACTGGAGGAGCTCTGCCGATTAGGCGTCGTTTAATTGAAATGTCAAAAAATGACTTGCGCCATTGCAATGCCTTTCTCTCTATCTACCCTCCGGAAAGATTTATTAATTGCGTTGTTGGTTGCGTCACTGTATGACCGATACCGCGATTCAATCCACTCGTGGTATCTCCATCGAACCGATTACTGAAACCCTCGTGTAACACAGATTCGGATATGATCGAGAATTTGTGGCAATATTCGTGTAACACGGTAAGAATTCATATAGAACACGGTATAGGTTATGTTTTTCCGGTGCAATCGTATATAACGCGGTGTAAGGGATGGCCGATAGTCGGTAAAAGCGATTTAGCGAGATCGTAAAGGATTACTGTATGTCGTACTCGTATACCATAGAATGGTTGGTTATAGATAGAAGGTTCACCCTATGCATATTTTCTTTTAGGAATATTTCACATGAAAATCTTGACGAATTTAATTTTCGATTTATCTTAAATTGAAACCTGGAATTTTTGGAAATGGAGTCTTTGGAAATATCTATTAAGTATTATTTAATTTCCTAATATACATACGTAAATTAGTAATTGTGATTTAATGTAATAGAAAGAGAGGTTAGGTTATTAGGGGGGTTTTTTAAAACTCCTGTTCTTTTATTTTTGTTTCGGTAATGATCTTGATGATTGCAATTTTCCTGTCATTGTAAGAACACGTAATTTTAACAACATTAGTAAATTCCAACAGATCCAAGCTTTAAATATTAAGATAATTAAAGTTAGTCTAGTGGTGTATTTATTGGAGAACAATGGTTGAGTTAGCACTTACGAGAAAGGTGTGTGCACCAAGTGTCCCTCTGGTGGCGAAAGTAGGAAGATCGTGACAAAAGTTTCCTATGAAATTCTTTTTTGAAATTTCTTTGCTTTTCATTCGTTTTTCTTAATCTGATTGAACCAAGCCGCATCTTACGAAGTTAATAGTCACTGAATTTCTTAGAATTTCGCTAATCTTGTCGATTCTGCTATCGTGTGGCGTTGTTTTGTGTGTGTCAAAACGCGACCGGGAATAAAGTTCACAGTTTCATTTGAGGCAAATGAAATTCAGGAGTATCTTCATTTTATTACGATAATTATATCGATAGTGGTGTTAAGTACCGTTTATGCGTACAAAATGTCATCTGTTTAATTTGTTAAAGTGTCCATGATCTAATTCCACAGATATAATGTTGACACTCTTGCAGTAAAATGATTAGATAAAACATATACATAGTAGAAAATGGTGTTTAACAGTATCGATTATAGTAATATGCGGTAAATAAAAATTTACTGCTATTAATAGAATTATAGTAAACAAAAATTTAGTTATCAGTATCGTTTATACGAACAAATATCGATCGATTTAATTTCTCAAAGTGATCATAATCCATCAAAATTTTCGATTTTCACACTGAACGTAAATTCATTATCCATCATTGCAGAATTGTTCTTATCCACTATTATCAACTTTCTCCATTTCAATTAACGAAACGGGAATAATCTAAATCAAGCATGTTCAACAATTATCGAAAAATAAAAGTTCAAGTGTCTTTCTAGACATTAAATTTTAAAATACTAATTTCTTAACACGTTCCTTATCAGGCGAATTTTTTATGACTTTCGTGTCATTAAAATTGATAATTTTTTCTAGAACATATGTTAGGCCAAAAACCGCAGTGATATAAATAAAAAATTTCTGATTATGATTCAATTTTTAAATGTATTATCCATTTAATTCTAGAGTCAACGAATAATCAGCAATCATATAACTGAACTTAAATTATGTAAAAATATATTCGACAAAGCTCTCTGCTGCCACCTAGTGTAGTTTCATAATTCTAATGCTAATTACATCAGTAATTACAATCTCAGCTAGTAGTCACTAGCTTATCCCCATATGTATTTAGGTTGCAATTAATCTCAACTGCAACTCTTACACCTTCAGACCACTATCTATTTATCTAACATCACAGTACTCTTGTATTACCAGTAATCTTACATCAAAGAAAAAAAAGGAATTTACTAACTGTTGTCGACAGTCGAGGTATCTCAATTTATGACAAAAAAGAAAAGCATACGAGTTAAATGGTTCCATATATACCAAAGAATTAAAACTTCGAGTTAATCCTACTTAAATACCGAAAAACAAATTCAGGCAAGGACCATAAAGTCGAATGAATTGAAACAATTAAACGATTTCTACCGCGGTGAATAAGGGCGGATCCACAAAGGCCGCGCAGCGGAGCCGAATATTCGGAAATAAATCAATTCGACGTGCAGGGATTTAATCTCCGGTGTGTAACGACGGGGAGCACCGGCCATAATCTTAATGGGGCATAAAACAGCCATTACAGATGGCCCAATGGGTGACAACACGCCGTAAATAATGTACCGCCGCTTTCGCCAGGCATCGTTCAGAACCTTGTGCGTGGAGTTCGAACGATGGCTGCATTTTCTTCGGCGAGAACAGAATGCGCCTGTCCAGATGTCGCCACGATTACCCAGTTGAGCGCAGGTTAACCTCTTAGCTCGATACACGCAACAGGAATTTTCTGTTTTCGGAAGAGAGGTTTTGATTGATTATTCTTTTTTGTTACGGTGTAAGAGTTAGGAAGTAGCAATTACTGCGAATAGATTAATCCTTTAACTTAGTATACCTGTAATTTCCAGTTCTCGTGGTATTCAAATTATTAGAGACTAATAATTATGATAGATTGAACCCATAGTTCTCTATACTCCTTGCTGTTTGGAAGATAGTTTCTAATCAATTATAATTCCTCATTATGGTGTAAAGGTTAAGAATTAATAATTATTATAAATAGTTTCACCTTCTAGGCCTCTGTTATTAGAGCTGTCTGCTCTTGTGAAAAAGGAGAGATTCTAGTCAGCTATAGTTTCTCATTATGGTGCTAAAACCAAGGGTTAATAATTGTGAGTGGATCAACACTTTTGTAGTTGTATAAGTATTATTTCGTTAATGTACCTTCTGTTATCATTCTCTTGTTTTACAACCATTGTTGATTATTAATTCTTTCATTGGAATGTAGAACTCTAACAAGTTACAATTCTTTTTAGTTTACAAGTAACAGAAAATCAAAAGAATATTTGCAGGCACATCAGCATAATTTTAATTAAGCTAAAACGCAAAGAAGAATACACGGTATTGATTGTGCACTTTATCAGCTGCCATTGTATTCGCAATCGTTTTCTGAGTTACGTCGCAAACATAATAATAAACTGCACGATATTTAAACAATTAAATGTCAACGCTATAAACACACCAAAGAATGCCAAGATATTCAGAGTATAACAATCTGAAGTTCTGTTTTAAATCGTGAAACTAAAAGCAGAGATTTTCTCTATACCCAATATAAAGTAGTACACCTGTGTATATCTCATTATATCAGAGTATTTTCTTCAAAAATCGTATAATTAATACGTAAACGATAAAAATATTGATAAGCAATCTCAACCGAGAGAGGGCTATAATTAAAATGAATTTTTTTACGTAAGAAATGAATTACAAAAATGAATGATACCCAATAAGGTAATTTCCTACATAACGGATTCATTAATGGCTCGATAAAGGAGAACGCATGCCTTTTAAGTTTCCCGGCACCAGTCCATGGCGTCGAATAATCTCTTGGAAGTGTGAGGACGAACAGCGCAGAGGTAGCCGGACATAATTTTTCGAGATACGTTTTATCGCTGCTTAAATGGCACTTGACGATACCGAACACGATCGTCGAGCAGAGTGCCGGGGAACGGTGCTCGTGACATGCACGAAAAAGTATCAAGTGCTCTGTCAACGCTGTGGTCGATCACGTTGACGATGTTTTGGGGTGTTATGTTCTATGTAAACCGTGTTTCATGTAGTACGGAAACAGTAACAGTCTTAAAATGGCGGAAAGAATATCATAAATTAAAATTAATCAATATTCAATCGATAACAAATTTTAATTAAAAAGTCAATGTTACCTTTATTGTTTTATGTAGCATCATATAATTGTATCTATCCAATTATTTTAGAGTAGCTTCTATACAAAGTCATTCTGAAATATAACCATGTTTTTTTGTTAAAGTGTATGTCAAACATGAAAGTACGTACACTGTTTACATTTAGTTACAGGATATCTCTGAATAACGTTCACGGTTAACTTATGCATTAACTTCTGTATATATATCTCGTTATTTATAGTTTCTCGTTATGATCTAAAAATTAGGGACTGATACTTACTATAAATAGACAGTTTGATATCAGTACAATGCTATTGTAGTAATCCAGAATAATAGTATAATATAACAGTGATAAATGAATGAAATGAGAATTAAAAATATAAACACATGGGTATTTGACATCAACTTCCAAGTCACGTGGTACAGAAGGTTAGTAATGCAATTTGTTATCGATCGAGTACTGACTGAACCTTGTTCGTGACGTTATCAGATTATCGAATGAAGCTAAAGAGATGTAGAGGTCGTTGCGTCGAATAGGCTATGATAATTCCTGCAGTCCTTCGTATCGAATGACACCCCTAGATGGCGACGAAATCGGCACTCACCTTTGCCACGCTGCCGAAAGCTGCTCAACCGGTGGTCACTCTTTCTCTCCTCTTCCTCTTCCTCGCCGGTTTTCCGCGTCACGCCTCGAACGACGGCCGGGCCGCCGATCATTCGCGATATTACGTTTCCCACCGCTAATAAATTAATGTCAAAGGGAAGGTCCCGTAATTGATGCCTGCGCGGGGATCAAATCGACGTTGATTTATCGACCGAGCTTGGCCCGCTCCGCGCGCCGCAACAAGAAAACCGACGATTTATTGACTTTTCGGACCGATGCACGATCGCGGGACGTTTCGTCTGGTGGATGGGCTCGTTCCACAGTTTCGTTCGATCGATCGTCACGACACGAATCACAGGCTCGGAAATTATATTTTTATCGTTTCTGATCCTCTTTTGCGAAATGTCGATATCGTTCGGGATCTACCTTGCCGATATTTCGAAATACTTCGAAATTTTTACGAATTCTGTTTACTTTCGATATTTAACGATTTCTGTTTATTCTTTCAGAACGTTTGAGCCTTGTCTTTTTGATCGGAGAATTTTCTACAGCGAGAAATCACGAAGACGATTTATAATTTAGAGTTAGGGATATATTAGATGTTTTAAATAGATCGGTAAAAATAGCTACTAATATAAGCTACCAAGTTAGTTGCGTTTGATCAAGGAATTATTTTACTGTGCTTAATGCAATCCTCGTTTAATAATTCTTCTCAGAATGATCTTTTTGATACTTCTCGTTTCCATGTCGCAAAGGGAAGTGACGATTTTTCGCGATCCATGCGGAGGATGCGGTTAATCGCGGTCTACCGAGCTTCGTCAAACCTCTCGGGGAAATCACCGAGTAAACACGAACGTTGACACCGAGTAATATTTCACATAAATATCCTATTTATTTATACGAGTATGAAATGATTTTAAAATTTCATTTCATGAATTCTAATCTTCCCCATTTCATCAAAATTCGTACTACTGTAATTGGATTTAAAATTTCATTTTTAGAAAATACTTTGATTTTCCTTCAATTTTTTTTTTTTATCTTTGATTTTTGAATTCTCCAGTATTTCTTCAATTTTCAAATTTTTGAAGTATTTTTTCAGTCTTCTCGATATTTTTGCGATCTTCGAATCGTCTTTGGTCCTTTTTTGATTTTCCAATTGTTTTTTTATTTCTTCCAAACTTTTTCGATTTTTCTTCGATCTTCGATCGCACTCACTGCCAAATGGTAATTTATCGATCATAAAACTTTGTGCACAGTAAAGTCGGAAGTTCACAATAATCACGTTCTCGAGTAACGAAGTGCGAATCCTTGAGGCCGGTTCGAGTTCTCGTTTAATTTATTGCACTTATCGCGCGACGTTGCGTTGGAAACGAGTGGCGATTTCGTGGTAAGGCATCCACATTTTGAGAGCAACCGTCTCGTTGGCGAGTATCGCTCGGCGACTAAGAGAATCGGCGAGAAGAGAAGAGCAGCACGTGCGCCGGCGATATTGCTCAAGGAAGTCGCATTGATACCGACGTCCTGCTTAATCATGCTCTCCAGACTCCAGTGAAATCCAGTGGCCGTGATCGTAACTAAAATAAACTGCATGGAAAACGAACCGATAATGTTCTCGCATTAAGAGAATCGAGGAAAGAAGATTCAGCTTCTAACAAATTGTGTGATTATTTAACCCTCAATTGGTGTCATTAGATTATAGGTTAGGTTGTTCCATAATCCAAATGGTCAGGTTATTTAACTTCAGATTAAGTTACTCGCTTAATTTTGTGGTAATTCGGTTCTTCAATTTTGATTTCTGCTTTTCATCTATGGCAATAATTTGGAAATAATTTTAGAATAATTTTATCTTCTCGTCTTTTGGCATTTTGTATTGATACCATTAGCTTTTTAACGTACGACTCTCTTTCCTTGTCTCGACTTAAATGGGACACTCTGTATAATTAAAATTATGGTTTAAAGGTATAGCCAAAATATAATTTTGAAGATATGGATCTTCATATTGGACTACATATTTTGTTAATATTTGCATCATTCTGTAGCTATTCTTTTAAATATTTGTTTCAATAATCTTCTGCCATGCATCATTCATCATTTTTCCAAAAAATATTTCGTTTCTTCTTCAGAAATAAATTCTCCTAAATAACATTTTTCTAAATTCCTAGTGAATTCGGTTTCTTATCGTCGAAAAAGTTTTGTAAAGATCAGAATAACCGATAATCGGATGATGCTACTTCCGGTGAGCAGGACGGATGAGGTTGAACGTTTCAGCAAAGGTCCATTATTTCTTCTTTGCCCTTCATCGATTCTTCTCCAAAGATGATGCCTCCAACCTTGAATGTTTTAAATAATTTCTGCATTTAATTTTCAATTAGAATTTTATTCCTGATAAACAATTTTCTTCTAAATTTACCTTTGAATTTAGAGAACAGTCCCATGAAAGGTTTTGAAACAGGCCAACAGGTTTTAAATGTAATTTATTAGCTTTGGTCATTTTTAGATGATGAAATTGCAGAAAACTGGAATCCTGAAACAGAAGAAAATTAATAGTGACCTGTGGAAGCAGTTGATGTTTGGCTTTAATCTCAGATGAAGATTTATTTGTGACAGAATTTAAGTAAAGAAAGCATTGGGAATTTATGAAGTAAAAGAATTTCAAGTAGGATCTACAATTTATGCACACAAGTAACTTCGACTGGGACAGAGTTTAATTTAAATGAATTATCTAATCATAATTTGTTTATCACACGATATTACGAATTTATGAATATTTTAATACGATTGAAATTTATATATCTTCAATTAATTGGAAATATTACGTGTAACAACGTATGGTTAATCATAAGCAGTATTTCTGTATTCTAAAACTGTATTGCATATTATTTACTGTTACATAGTTGCAAGATACTGGAATTTAAAGATTGTTTCTTTAATTCTTCGCACTCGTAAACTCTTAGCTAAGTTTTAAATGAAATTGAAGTAAAAATCCGAGATATGACTATTGCCAGAGTTATTCAGCAGTCATTTTTATCTGTGCCAGAAAAAATGCTCGATAAAAATTGATTCCAGCCTTTAATCGCATTTTAATAGATTACTCGTAACTCAATAACCCAGCATCGTGTTTTGTATTTCTTTCGTCTTTTATCTAGTATTCGACGTTTAACGTTAGAATTACATATCTGCGATGATTACACGCATCCTATTTATGTTTTCCAAATTGTAATTTAACGTTGTACATTTATTTTCTTTTTCAGGAGTGGTTCAATTACGAGGTAGACTCGGACGAAGAATGGGAAGAAGAAGAGCCAGGTGAATCTCTGCATGGATCTGACGATGAAAAGGATGAAGAAAATCCAGAGGACAATGAGTATGACGTGGATAATGATTTCATGGTTCCACATGGGTAGGTTGATAACAGAGTTATCAATAGCATTCAACAAGGGAGGCTTTTGAAGTTTAATAAACTAATATTTTAAATTTTTTGGAAAAATATTTGACTTAAATTATTTTTTTTCGTTGATAATCATTTATATTTAATAGTTAAAAATAATATAGTAAATTAATGAAATAGTATTCATTTTTTAATATATTTTTTTAAGTAAACTAATATTTTGGGAAACTGCTATAAAGCTTGTCCCAAAAGAATATTAAATATTCTTTTGAAAATTATATCTTCCGTAAATTACATTAAAATCAATTATTAACATTTTGGAGGTCTCTCTTGTGAGTATAGCCTGATTTGCTTTTAATAATTTTTGTTTCCTTTTTTACAAATTTAGATATTTGTCCGATGAAGAGCTGCGCGCAGATGAAGAGGACAAAGAAGATATGGTGAGTGTTCTTACAGCAGATAATAAAATATTTCTATTATCAATTAGGTAAATTGATTAATTGTTAGTAAGTATCCATCGATTAATGCTCTTCTTATTTTTATAGACACCAGAAACACAGAAGTTCAAATTGAAACTATTGGGAGAACAATTTGAGTCTGAGAGGAATACGAAGACCTCGAAATTGAAGCCAAAAATAATAGGCTGTATTTGGAGAGGACCTGACAATGAATTTCCATCGAATAGTAAGTATTCAACGTTAAAAATGAAATATGGGTTGGCTTCTTTATTTTTGGATCACGTTTTTCCATTTTTTTTTATAGTAATTTTTGTTTGCAATTTCCACTAACTTTATAAGAAGAAAGAGAATTGTAATTAAACAAATTGTAAAAAACTATGGTCTGATAATTATTTTCTGTTTTTAGTTCCACGAAAGACTCTTGACTTTTTGTTAGCTCACGAAGCTTGGGTTCGTCAAATACCGATAATATTGCCGACTACGTCTGAGAATGAAACCACGACAGCTAACGACTGTAAGAGTTCAACGCCACAACAGTCGACGACAACTTCAAAGAAATCGCGAGTTCCGGAAGAGGCTTTACCGGATTTAATTCGGTTGGTACACGGAAATACACATAGCAGACGGTTCCTTGTGAAGGAGTTTAGTGCGTACTGGAATAAGAAGAACGAAGCGAATTCACTCTCGAAGGCCAGTTTACTGTATAAAATTCGTGAGATTGGGAAGTGGATGGCGTGTCCAGAGGAAGGACCAATGCATTTGAAGGCTTGCTGGTACGTTTTCGAAGAAATCAGAAAAAAATATCATATCGAGGAGCTTTCTTTGCCAAATCGCTGGTCATATAACCTGGTTCCGAAGAGAAAGAGCGATGTGACACAGTTTGTTGAGAAATTGGAAAAATTGGAGAAAGAGGATAAAGATAATAAAGATAAAAAGAATGTGCCTTTAATTACTCAGTTTACTAAAAAAATTACTCAAGAGGAAATGAAAAAGCAATTAACTGGTAACCCGGCCCAAACTACTCCTCGGAAGCAACCTAAGAGGGCGACATTAATTTCTGTTAATAGAGGCGAGGAGTTCCCTAGGACATCGAAAGAAAAATTAAAAAGTGTTGTGAGCAGCAAGAAAGTTAGAAATAAGAAATCAAATCAAAATGATAGTTCGGACAATGTAATTGTAATATGCTCCGACGATGATGATGTTAATGCCCAGGAAAAGAAAGAAGACAAATCCGAAAATAAGAAAAAGAACGAAGATAGACTTGATGCTACTCCTATGGAATTTGAAGAAGAAGCAAGAAATGAAGGAGAGAAATCTGAAAATGAAAAAAGTAATGAGAGTGGTAAAGCGTTGAAAATCGAAGCTTTGACAAAGAATGATGTACCGAAAAAGAATGTGAAAGAAACTGACATCGATACAGATGAGTAAGTTATAAAAAGAAATTGTAGGAAATGTGTATTCAAGTCTCGTGCGTAGAAAAAGGAAAAAAAACACAAGAAAATTTCATACAAAAAGCGCTAAAAAGATGTGATAAATAAGTAATAATAGAATAAGTTAAAAATTGAATAAGAACTTCAACTATGACTTTATGATATAATATTATCGAGTATTTTGATAATGGGTCGTACTGTCGTTAGACTTTTGCTACGTTTAATATGCTATTTAAGTAAATTTGCATGCAAATGTGTACAGAGTTTTGAACTGTTCTTTATTTTTATAAAATTTATCCAATATTTGTAATTTGCACATACGAGATACGCTTGTTGTAATTACTGTTGTTATTAAAAAGTATTACAAATTTCCTAATTATTAACTATTAATTAACGAAAAATAGGAGCGATATTCGAAGATACCGCATATTCCTTAGCATTAATCTAACTTAAAAATTGTTACAAGAATACAAGTTTCCGATAATCGTTATTGTTTACATATAACTTTATATTATATATAAAATAAGATCATTTTAATGCAGGCAATGCACACTCTATTTTTGGAGTCCATATTTTTGATAATAGCATAAACGATATTTTTCATAGTTAGGAACTGTTATGTGAAGTTCATTAGGTGAATTGTGCCACTTTCTGTATGTTGCATTTAACACATTTCATGTTGCTCAAGAATAACATGTTGTAGCAGCTATGGAACATATTCCTTATTTAATATAAATATTTTTACTCACTATGTAACTCATACAAACGACTTTTGATATATTTAAGTTCTTAAACTAGAAAACGTAATATGAAATACAGCGATATATTCAGAGCTTCAGGAAAGAATATGTTTGATATATGGTTAGAAATAGGTCTATACTTTTTTAAATCGGGTTTTAAAATTATTTAATTGAATTATTAATTTTGTTCAACTGTTATTAAAAATCTGGTTATTTTTAATTGCGTTGTCAAAGTTGATTTATATTAATTATTTTGCCGTAAATTTCTAAATATGGATCAATGGCATCCCGATTTGGAGAAAAGAAAGAATGAAATGTACTTGCGTTGGTACTTTACATGTTAATATAGTTGATTGTTTTTTTTTTTTTTTTTAAAAAAAAGAAAAAATGAGAAAGGTACCGACGATTTAAAATGAACAATACTTAATATGACAAATATATATTTCATATGAGCTTTACGATATCAATTAGAGGATGTGTAACTAACAAATTTGATCGAAGATCGATGTCGAAATCACAATATGTTTTATGTGATATATGTTTCCTATGGTGTGATTGAAAAAAGAATCGCGATTGGAATGCAGTATCGTTATTTTGTAAAAAAAGAAAAGGAAAAAATAGAGCAAGCGTATAAAATTTATGGCTCGTTATTTTGTTTCATTAACAATTACATTTTATACTAAAAATGAATAAATAAATTAAAGAATACTTACATTATTTGTGTTGAATACTCTTTCATCAATGTAATTGGATCTCTTTTTGTGCCATAGTTCTTTTCAAATATTTATATTGTCATGTAGACAATATTGTACAATTAAAATGGAGAAAATAAAATTACTGTGAAGTATATGTGATATTTCTTATAACAAAATCACTACAACATTAAATAATTGACAACAATTCTAGGATTGTTATTGTTCCTTCTTGTTTAACAGAAATCACATATTTTTAATCATACCACTTGATATCCAACAACAAAACGAATCAAAGATACGTAATGATATAACCTGCAATGACCTGAGAAGCAAAACATCATATCAATAATTTCAACGTCAATAGTATACAAATCTACATTTGTCCTTAAATCTGTTTTGTAAATATTAATATCTCACCATTCGAAAGAACCCTAAATCATATCTGTTCAGCTGTTTATCCAAACAGCAGACTGATCAACTTTAATCGAGTCAACTATAGCCATTGAAAAACATCGAATTCCTTCTCCCGCGCGTTCGATTACCAATTTAAAAACATGCGGCTGGATTCCAATTTCAAGACAGTTCGTCGATTCCTTTGCACATGGAACAACGGAAATCGGTTTCGTTCTCAATTCACGGGTTTCGCCCTTTTTTCATCGTTTTTCAAAGCTCACCTGCCTCGTTCTCGAAGGGTGGTTGGAGTGGAAGGGTGGATGGGGATAATCTGTTCCAGTAATGTGAATTATCCAGAGGATTCTACCGCTAAAAACTTTCGCAGCGGGCAGTAACGTTCGAGCACAGGTTAATGTATCGGCGCCCGGCTTTGCGGAACGTGGAATTGCATTCCGTCGAAGCGTGTGCCGGAGTTAAATAAAATAGCTGCAGTGAAAAGTTTTGCACAGCATCGCATTATTGGCGGCTGACCGGAAGCGCATGTCTTATTGGAACGGAAACGATACAAGCCGTGGATCAGCGAATGAATTCATCGTTACCTTCGATTCGTCCATAAGGTTCCATAGGAATGAAAACGTTTCGGTTCTTCGTTTTTGCTTGCACGGTGGAACGTTGGAACCCGGGAATTTAATCCAACCTACTTAGAATCATATTAACGGACATTTTTAAACGCGTACGTTATTTTTTTAAATTTTATGCATGTTTTTAACAATTGTTACTGTTAAATATCGATTTTTCGAGCCGTAATTAATTGATTATTCTTTATTCACGCAGTTGACGAGACAGGATGGTATCAGGTTAAACGATGGAGAAGGTATGACTAGTGTCAATAAGCAAGTTAATTTAGTTCTTGTTGGAAGTGATTATTTTAGAAATATTATCAGTCTTTAGCAAAATTGCTTACATTTAAAATTCCAATTGCAATTTATTTATTAAAATTATATATGTAAAAATTAAAGTGACTATAAAAAATGTTCTAAAATAAAGACTGTCTAAGTGCAATAAATATTTCATTATGTACATAAGGGATATAAATTATATATAACATACAGGAATAATATAATAATATAATGGAATATTTATAATATTATATTGTAATGATATAATTTTTATTCATTATTGCCTGCATTTGTAGTAATGTATTTCAACATTTAGCATACAAATCTATTTATAAAAATTTCATTTCAGTCACAATTTTCTTAAATTACAAATTTTCTCACCGGAACCATTTTTCTCTTATGTATATATAATATAATAATTCTCTTTCAATCTTGCCAAATACACAGTAGAAATATGTAGTCTCTTAATTTGTAAATTCGTTTAAAAGCATATAAAAATTTCGCGTCGAAAGCAATTAACAATTGTTAAACGCACTGACGTGATAAATTTCTCGTTGCTGCAATGGAATTTTTAAAGCTGGTATAACAATCAATCAGGGGCTTGACATTTGAAATTGAATAATTTCAATTCGCGACAATATTTCTCTTGTATTTCGACGATGTAAAAAGTTTCGAACGAATTTCAAAAACCGCTATTATCCCAGAGTTGTAACGGAAAAGCGAGGGATTTTTTTCCCATCCATTCTTTTTTCTGCCACCAATAGGATTGCTGGAAATATTTTTTGAACCTCGGTATTAGTTTTGATCGTCCGCAGTTTTAAAATTGTACCGGTTTTGTAGAGAACTCTGTGAAACACGAATCGAAATTGGGAAACAATGTTATCCGCTCTTTTTTTTTTTAATTGCACAAATATGGTCCGAAAATTTTATAACATTTCATTTACATTAATATCGAAGCTTTCCATAACTTTTGACTAATTTTGATTTGAACTACACGTTTACATTTTCATATTGCATTTTATATATACTTTCTATAACATAGAAAGATATACATATAAAATATAATTACATATAAATAGTACTTTTTCAAAATCATTTTCTAACTTTGAAGAAACAGGTAATAAAAAATTCCTTCTTATTGAACATGTCATGTATCCTTTACATATATTTTCATTTTCCATATATTTCATTTTTACAGGTCCACCATCTTGAAAATTAAGAACAGAAGGACTTCCAATAATCGGTAAGGCTTTCAGTTTTACAATTTTCACAAAAAAATTTCCAATCACTTTTAATTCAACTTTCTAAAATTTTTTCAGAAATCAAGACACTTTGATTTCTTCTGGGTCAAGCACCAATTCTTAGCTTTCATCGATATCGATACTATTGGTGATCCTTCCAACCGACAGAAAGATTGCTCTTGCAAGAGAGACACGAGAAACCTCTGCTAAACTCAACAAAATCCTCATCCACTGGTCGTTCCCGCGGCGTCCCGTTCTTGGAGCTTTGGAATATCCGGGTCGAGAAGAAAGAGCAAGAAGAAGTCCAGTAGGAAGTTTTACGGTCGGTAGTTCGGGACGTAGCTCCGGGCTGGACGGCATATGGCCGGAATAAGGAAAGGCTCTGCATCCAGATTACGGCAATTATCGAATCACGTTACGGGATCTGGCGCCACGCGGCTCGAAAACGCAGAAATTTAGTTCCAACCCCCGGGGGTGGCTGGAATGAGTACTGCTGGCACGGACCTGGTCGAGGAAACGTGGACGTTCTTGAATGGATTTCAGGTTCTTTTGCAATTTTTTCTTCCATTCCGAGTTCTTGGATTTCGAAGATTTACTTCTTTTTCTTTTTTCCAGCTTCTTCTCCGGGTGTTCCAGCGATAGCCGAATTGGGAATTTAACACGAGGTGGATGAGGATGGTTTGAATCGATTAGGGGAAATTGGAGTGGCTTGCGACGTGCCGAATTTGAAGTAATCGGTAGGCTGATACAGGTTTGTGAATGCTTGATACTTTTGGTTTTGTGTGGATAGGTGAAGAGGTGGGAGTAAATATGGAGAACGCTATGATCTGACAATGTTTGATTCCATTTTTATATTTTTCACGAGGAATACACGTTTCTTTTTGTATATATATAGTATCCTTGGACCTTTCTATCTTTATAAAAAATTAATAAATTATTTAATATGTTCAGTTCTTGGATTGTCACATATTCTGCTCCTAGCACAAACCATTGATTTAAAAAAATGGAATTTTTGGATTATCGTAGCTTC